AAACAGAGGCAGGAGAAAGGACGTGATGACACAGCTCGAAAATCGAATACAGAGAGTCCCACAACGTGACTTCTTGATTGTGGCTGGGGATTTCAATGCGCATGCGGTGACCTCATATCGGACCAAGTGTGCCTCATCGAGTACGGTTTGCAAATGCAGATGTGAAGACAACATTTTTGCATTGCACTCACTGCCAGAATCAGCATGTGGACCTCTGATCACTTTGGATCCTCGGCACGTCGGCTACTCTGTATCCGCCTTGGGAGCTCCAGCAGTCGTTGCTAGTTCGTACTTCACGCCCCTCAGGGCTGCTGAAAGGATTGTTGTGCACAGCTATGTTCGAGTATGTGGAATGCATCCGCCCCTCAGGGCTGCGATAGCGCTGTGCTGGCTGGGCACCCTACGACCGCTTCCTACTGGCTCACCTGCACCCGCGACTGCTGCAGTGCCGGCTGGCCCCGATGTTGTGTTGCAGGCTATAGCTGTGCGCTAGCTGAGTTTGGTGTGATTAAGGCGGGCAAGTGTGATATAGAAGGTCTCACCCGCCTTTTTTATTTCACAGTCCGGCCTTTTGGACTTCGAGAGGATCGCTTCCTCCAGATTGCCAGGTCTCACTACCTGCTATACTGAATCTGCTTTGGCAGAGTACTTAAGGATATTCAGGAGGAAACCTCCTAATCTGATGCAATGAATCAACTTGCACGTTCCAAGTAGGATGCCCAAATTGGATGCAGGGAAGCTGAGTTTGCGAAGCCTGACCTGGGACGCCTTGCGCGGCTCCTGGGGCCAGCGCTGCGACAGGGCAAAATTTCATACCTAGTCGAGAAAAAGTGACCCCAACTGACCGAACTTAACCCACCAGGCTGGAGGAGGTCTCAAATAGGTACGAGTACTTTGCGAAGAGGGAAGCACCTGACCTGGGACACCTTGCACGGCTCTCGGGGCCAGCGCTGCGACAAGGCAGGTTGCATCCGAAAAAGTGACTCTAAGTTGAACCCACCGTCCTTGAGGAGGCCTCACATGTTCGGGGGGGAATTTTGCTGGGGTCAAAGGAAGTGCGCACAGGGCTCTTACAGATGCTTCAGGTTCAGGGACAAAAATGGGTAAGCTTGGCCTTACGCTACAGCAGGCAGATCGGTCTACTGTAAGAAACACTACCGGGGAGGAAGCCTCCGGAGGAAACCTCCGCATGTGAAGGTTCATGCAAGAGACTGTACTTTTTAGCACGAGTTATTTATTATCTGGATTCATCTTTGGAATCTCCGGAACATTAATATCAGTCCTTATAAGAATAGAATTATATTCATCAGGAAATAGGATTATATCTCCAGAAAACCAGAACTTCTATAATATAAGCATTACATTGCATGGCTTTCTTATGATCTTCTTTTTAGTAATGCCTGGCTTGTTTGGAGGATTTGGAAATTATTTTGTACCTATCTTTCAAGGGTCTCCAGAAGTGGTATATCCTAGAGTCAATAATTTTTCTATCTTAATTCTTTTACTTTCATATCTTTTCCTAATCCTTTCTATAATCTCAGAATTTGGAGGTGGTACAGGATGAACATTTTTTCCACCATTATCCACTTCTTTTATGACTTTATCACCTTCAAGTACAGGGGCTTTATTGCGCGCAGGGCAGCATTCATGCCGAGTTGCCTTAAGCAACAGCAGGCAGATAGGTCTTCTTTAAGAAAGAACACTGCTGAGGAGGATGCCTCCGGAGGAAACCTCCGCATGCGTGCTTGGACTTGGCGGGTGCTGACAATTGGGCAAAGGCCTGCCTCATGGCTGCCTGGCTGAATCTAATCTCTTACATAGAAGGCCAAGTACGATCCTCGGCATATTTGATCCGAGAGGAGCATGGTGCATCTTGGCGGATCACTATCATCAGCTAGGTACGCAACTCCATCTCTCCAAAACCCCGCTCGGTAATGTCCAGAGCTCCAGTCTTCGCCGATATGGATAATGAATGCATAGAGGCTAAAGGACACTGCTTCTGTTGAGGTTCCGTTATCTAGAAACATTGGCATCTCAAGAACTGTGTCCAGCGCTTGTGGGCGGGAAGTTTTGATTTGCTGATCAAATCTTTGAATTTGTAAGCAAATGAGTCTTGTATCTGGAAGCAAGGCAAACACACTACCCCTGTTCGTCCATTGTGTTACTGATTGCTGAAGAGTCGAGAGTCCATCCGGCGGCTCGGGTAGATACAGAATCAAGCCACCTTTTTCCTCAACACTTATGCGTTCCTCCGGTGCTGAGATATGAACTCGCGCCTCCCATTTATCTGATGAAAGATCTGGAATACGCTGAGAGATATGCAACAGAAATTGAGATGCATCCTCCTGCCTGGGTCGTAATCGCCATCCTGCTAGCAGCGGACGAAGATGTCGCAACCTCCGAACATCCGCATGAGAGGATCTGCCATTCAGGGAACCTATTTCCGTTAGGATGGAATTTAAAGAAGGATCTGGGAACAGTCCGTCTGACAAGAGAGAGATAAGGATATGAACGACCGTGTGTGCATAGCACAGTTGATGCGGATTATGATAAGCTAGACGCCAGGCAGCGTCTTGCATGGAAGCTGTGGGAGGTGCAGTGGTTGAACGACCCGAGACGCGTGCAGTGTATGTCAGCAAAGAAGCTCGGCTGCTGGAGGAAGCCTCCTGGGAGGAAGCCTCCCTTCCTCTCACCTGGCTAATTGGAGGATCTGCACTGAAGAGATCTGGCAGTTCCATAGGCTTGGCACAAGCTGCACTCATGGCGTATGTCTGAAGCAGAACCACACATTGCTCTGCATGGCGTACTGGAGCATCTACCACAATGCGACAATACCTACATTCTTCTTTTTTGTGCAGGAGGCGCTTATGTGTTCGCATGTTGGCAAGAATGGATGCCGAGGATTGTGCCCAGAAAGCGGGATGAGCTTTCTGAATGTGCTGTTTCACTCCTTTGTGGCCAACAATGTATTGCCCACAGAGACTGCAGTTCGTTAATAGATGCTGAGTGACATGTCTCTTTTTTAGTAGAAGATCAGGATCCTTCTTAAGTTGTTCCTGCACGCTAGACTGATAGATCATAGCTATGCTTTCTGAGCTTGTACAGGATTTGGCTCGTTCTTTCAGCTCGTGCAGCTGAGGGCAAATGCCTGACTCCACATGTCTGCGAAGTTGATGCATTGTGCGCAACTGCCTGTTGCATGCCGCACATTGCGGAAGTCCTTTGCAGCTATGCACAGTGACCTGAAATTTTGGGCCTAGCTGATTCGCACGCTGTCCTCCATGCTTCACCAGAGTATGTTGCTGAAGACCCTTAGCGCTGGAAAATTTCCGATCGCACAGAGAGCACGGTACCTCCTGGTCTGCCTCGGTCAGGTCCAAATGCATGCTCTGAAGCTCCTGTTGCAGCGCAACAATCCTACCTCTAAGTCCCAGATACCACTGTATGTTCTGATCCGGGTTGTACTTCTGACAGGCATCTAGTGCGTCTTGATAGTTTTTCATCTGGCTGATCAAAACTGCTTGAGGAGTCTGAACCTTATATTGCTCGAACAGAGTCTTCGTGTCAATATGGCTGTAGTGCTGATGTTGCTTAAAGATGGATCTTAGCATCCTCGAGTATTTACTCTGAAGCTTCTGAAGACCTGATGAGGTGATGCCAGTGGCCACAAGCCCATGCAAGAGTGAGGATTCCACATAGACCCTCCAGATCTCCAACTTCTTTGAAGCCTCCAAGGCCTTAGTGGAGCACAGGATGTGTCGAAGTAGCTCAAACTTGCCTTGAGCTTGGGCGATCCTATAGTCAACAGTCTGGTCTTTGTAGGATCCATAGCTGAGCTGCACCCCTAGATATGTTAGTTTGTGATGAATCGGAATCTTATGTCCTGAGGGAAGGACGATGTGCAACTGCTTCTCTTTGCGCATCGTGTGCTTCTTGCGAAAGATGGACTGCTGAGTGCCCTGAACCATTAGCAAGGCTTTGGACTTCGTTGGATTGACTTCCAGCCCCACGTCCTCAAGAGACTGAAAGAGAGCCTCTATTCTGAGCAGGACTTTCTGAAGTTCAGGAAAGCTCGAGAAGGTTTCCTGGAGCAGGAAATCGTCTGCAAAGACTGTTAGGATGTCCCTAGCTTGCTTGCTATCTGGGCCCCATTTCTGCTCCATTCTGCTCATGACTAGAAGTGTCAGCGCAGACCACAATGCCGGGGCTAGCTTGCAACCTTGTTTGATTCCTGAAGAAGTGGGAACTTGAATCTCTAGTCCACTTGTGCCCATGTTGTAGGAGGTCTCACTGTGTAGTTGAACTACCAGTTCTTTCGTAACAGGGTCTGTTCCCAGGCGATCCAAGGCAGCTAGCAGCTCATGTCTATTAACAGAATCAAAAGCTTTGCTCAGATCAACCGAAATAGTAAGTGCCCCTGACAGTTGAGCCTGCCTGGCTCCGCGTTGGGACTTGTGCAGGTCCCTGCGATGCACTTGACGGAGCTGCTGCACGAAATCAAGGTGCTGACATGCTTTCGCGATGGCGTCCCGCACCCCCCTCTGCCTGATGTAGGCAAATTGCGGCTGAAGCTGTGAGCTCTCTTGCAGTGCTGGTGCAATGCGAGTCTTCACTGCGCCTGCTAGCACTTTGCCTGGCACGCTGATGACTCCTATGGGCCTCAGGTTTTTCATGGCGGTGGCTGGCTTGCCCGTCTTGGGGATCCATGCAATTCGAGGGTCCTTTAGATAAGGGGAAATTTCAGATTGGGACACCTCAGAGTTGATTAGACCTGCTATGTGTTCGTGGGCTTCAGGACCTAGACTCTTCCAAGCTGATACTGGGGCTGAGGTGCTGGGGACTGCTTTCCCACTGGCACTGTCTTGATTTGTGAGGATACCTGCAAGGCGGTGATCGCTGCTCTGGGCACAGCAGCTACTGAGTGCAAAGGAGGACTTTTGGAGAAGATTTGACTCGAGTATTCGCGCATTGTTTTTAGTGAGGCCTCCGTATCAAGCGGCTCACCTGCTTGATCCCTTAGGTTGACTCTCTGCACTGGGCGCCACGGAGCAAGTTTCCTGAGAGTATGAGCCAGTTTGTGGGATTGTTGCCTTTTATCTTCCTGGGCTTGCAGAAGCAACTGCTCTTGCTTCTCTAGCTTTCTTTGTTTTTGCTGTTTTTTGAAAGTCCGCGCCTCCTCCTTGATGTCCTCCACAAGCTTCTGGCATTCTGAATTATGCTCGGTTCCAGCCCTCTTGTGCGCCTGGATTTGCCGCACTTTCTTCCAGTATTCCTGATGAATAGGACCTGCTACTGGCTGAGACTTGCGTGGAGGAGGATAGTGCTCAGCTGATACACTAACCATCACTTCATCCAGTTCTTGCCAAGACGGTCTCACTTGCATTGTCCTCACCACTGCTTCCGTCAGACGATGTGAGTATGCCTGCCAGTTGTCATCTTTCCGCCGAAAGCTCGCATCCAGGGCTGTGGCATCAAACGGCCGTGGCTTGCTGGGTGTAGGACTGTAAGGAGGAATGAACAGAGTGGCTCGCACTGGAAAGTGTTTTGATCCATCTCTGTAGGCAGCCACAGGAAAGTTCTTATCCGAGTAGGCCTCCTTGGATCTCCTCCGAGCATCGTGCAGTCTGACCAGCAAAAAATCGATCTGAGAGGAATATGTGCCATCACTGTTAGCATACGTACTGCGATGGCCAGAAGCCCATGTGTTCAGCGCAGTTAGTCCACAGGATTTGCAGAGCGAGGGCAGTGTCTTCACATCCGCATTTGCAAACCGTACTCGATGAGGCACACTTGGTCCGATATGAGGACGTTCAGTCACCGCATGCGCATTGAAATCCCCAGCCACAATCAAGAAGTCACGTTGTGGGACTCTCTGAATTCGATTTTCGAGCTGTGTCATCACGTCCTTTCTCCTGCCTCTGTTTTCCGTCTTCGAGAGCTTTGAATCCCAGACGTGCTGGTACAGGTTCAGGAGATGTATTCTGGATCTCTGCCACGGGATCATGACATGCTGCAAATGCCCTGGAACAATGGAAGTGCTGCGAATTTCTGAAAGAGGAGCCAGTGAGCTATGCACCAAGACAACCAGGCCAGCCTTGTGTCTGCTTGTTCCTCCACTTGAGGCGAAGGGTCGGGTGCAAGCGCGATGCGCATAAAGTTTCATGACTAAACATCACCACAGCAATCACTCACAAACAGCATCTGACGCGCTCTCTCTTTTTGTGCAGGATGGAACGGACCCATGCATATCAGCAGCAGGATGCATCACCCAGCACGTTGATCCGGGCGAGTCACCCCTGGTGAAACGAGTGAATCCAGGCACATAGTGCCCACGTAGTGGCAGAGCCTTTGTCAAGATTTAATCGGACTGACAAGAGAATTGTCAGTGGCAAGCCAGCGCCAGCGGGCGGCAAAGCAGTTTCAGCAAGTGCTGAGGTATTAGAGGGACCTAAACCCTAGGGAACACAAACCACACAAGGAGCCGGGACAGACACGGGCAACCGGCGATTAGGGGAAATTTTGGGACGTGGCGGGCGGGCATCAAAAATTTCACGATCCGGTCTCGAGCAACGCAGAGCAAACAATGCCCAATCAATTGGAAAGATGTCAAATCTGCAAGGGCTTCACCACACTCAAATTTGCCAAATACCGCATGCCAAATCAAATCACTTTCAAGCAGAGTTTTTTTTCGAAAACACCCACAAAGCTTTTCCACAAGTTGCCAAAGGCCAGCATCCAACGTTCCAAGGAGCGCCCACCCGCATTCGAACCGCCGTGCCTCGGGCGAGGACAGCGCACCATGAGTGCAAGGGGGACAAGAATGGCTTTATCCAAGTCAGCAAGCGAGCCACAAAGGACAGCCTCCCAGCGAGCTCGATCACCGACCGCCCCACCACGATCCAATCAGCCTGCTCGGCTTCCAGAATCCACTTGACCAGCCACGAGCACCTCCGCTCGGAGATGCCAGCCCTCCAGTCAGTGTATGAGATTTCATATCCCACAAAATCCACAACAGTACCGCCCCGAAACTTACGATAGGCAAACGGCGTGCCAACCAACTCGTAGGCAGCCAGGCACATCCACATCGTGAGGAATTTGTGTTGTCCAGCAGTCAAGAGGTGAAGATCATCCGCAAACACGACTTGCATCTGCCAAACGGTCAGCATGACCCTGTGCACCCAACGGCCTATGCAGCCGAACAAGCGGGACCAGTGATAGGCCGCAGAGGAAATCCCAAACGTGCCGACGGTATTTACCCAAACCGTACGCGCCTCACTGCGTGCCTTGCATCCAAGCTTGGCCCAATCGGCACGGCGGATTTTGGTCAAGCGGTGAGCCTGAGCGATATCTGCAGAAATGCAGAACACTGCCTCTTTAGATTCCTGCCCCAAAGCCACCGTCTCAAGGATTTCATCCGGCCCCGGCATTTCCAAGCGATCGAGTATCTTGATACGATTGTTCAAACCAATGCCATGAGTCCCGTCGTGCAGCGGACGGATGTCGCCATTCGGTTTAAGTAAGGCACCCATCGATGCCACCAGCAACGTGTCACCATACTCTGCCCGCAGGGCAGGTTCCGTGCTCGGGATCATGCGACCGGCCCGCTCTTCCGCAGCAAAATGTTCTTCAAGCTTATCGGCTGAAAGCTCCGCAGACTCATAGTTATTCATGATCTGCTGGAAAGGGGTGACATCCAAGGTCCGCTCCTTCACACGCTCCCGGTACACCTGCGGCGTACGCGGCAAAGGGACCTCGTCACCCAGTGGCACGCCCGTCGCAAAGCACTCCTCCCCTTGTGTGAGACATGCCCAATCTGGATCGCCCAGCAACTTCAAGGACTGCGACAACAAGTGCAACAAGAAAGGCTGGCGCTCTGGGACCTGCAAAGCCAGATCCGGGTCTGGCAGCATGCTTGCAACCTGCTGCCTCAAACGCTGCACGCCCTGTTCACTAAAGGGGGACGACTTCATCCTTCCGACAGCCAGTTGCAAAGCAGCCTTGCGCAAGTCACCAACCTCCTCTAGCACAAAGTTCCGGATCGCCCTTTGCACCCGCTCAGCATGCTGCCACTCCTCTCGACTTGAGAGCATGCCTCGCTGTTCCGGACGCCAGCGCCCCGGAGAGCACAAGCCGAACCCATCAACAAACATGCGCCCTTTCGGGTGATTGCGGCAATTAATGGGCTGACCAAAACAACGACTCGTGGCCTGATCGAAGACATCACTCTCTTCCTCTGCCTCCTCCCAGTCCGACATGTCTGCAATCCCAAAACTACCCGGCTAAACCTGAAGGGGAGGAGGAAACCCCAACCGCGGCGGGAGCAGGACTAGCCACCGGGGCAGCGTTATGAGGTCCCGTCGCCCTTTCCTTATCAAACCCTAAAAGCCCACCAACCTTAGATGCAAGGGGCGTCCCCGCATCGGCGACAGGACCCGAGGGCTCCGCTAAGGTCACTGCTGTATCACCCCGGGCAACGCCAGCAGTGACTGACGGCGGGAGCAGAAAGCCCAATTGCGAAAGCAAGGACAGCGAGCTCACATCAAGAGCCTGCAGTTGGCGGACGCAGTAGCCAACGAGCACCACCCGAGAACCTCCAGACCAGGGTTCAGTCTGATGAAAGCGCTCCCAAGCTCGCAGAAGCTGTGGTGCCTGAGCGACATCCAAGAGGATCCCCGGACATGGCGTCCCATGCACCGTGCGCCAGACATCCCCATTCTGATCCTGCTGCCAAACCTGGCCATTGGAGAACGTCGAAAGTGCGAGCAGAAGATTTGGATAGGGGGCATTATGTGAATCCCGATGCATCTGTGTGGCGGCATCCACAAAGACCGCAACAGAAGAGAAGATCTGGCCTGGAAAAGCATGGCGGAGCAAAGTGCAGAGGACCCGAAGGGTGGCCGGGAATTCGCGGCAGGACCTACGAAGGCCAACAACTCCCCCTTTGCAGTAAGCCCCGCCAAAGAAGGCTTGCCCAGCCGCAGTCTGAGCACTGACATGCGGGGCCTCCAGTGGCAAGAGGGTTATCAGCGCTTCAGCATCGTGTGGCGCAGGGGGCCTGTCCTGTTGCAAGAGAACCCACTGCAGTCCGGATCTGAGGCCATTGCCAAATGCTTGCTGGGTCATCGCCATTGGGCAGACGACCCAGATCTTCCGGATGTTCAAGCAACCAGAAATGCCCCAGCGAAGACATGAGTTGAATCATAGCGGCACACTGCTCAACGAAGAAATTATGCTCTTGCACCAGTGCGCGGTGCGATGCAGACAACCAAGGAAAACCAAACGTATGAAAGCGGGAGCGCAGCGGTCGGGGCCCGGAGCCATCCGGCCGAGATCTATATCGGGCGCGACTGAAAGTGGAACATGGAGGTGACAAGATCACCACATCCCAAGCGCCCGAACGAATTTCCTTTTCCAATGAATCCCAGAGAGCCTTTTGAGAAAGGTCAGACTTAGTTCCATCCCGACAAATGTCAATTTCACGCAAATTCAAAGTGAAACCATGCACCTCAGCCAAGCGACGCAAGTGTGTTGCGAGGTCTCCGTCACGAGGCTTGCCAGCAAACAAGTACAGCACCGAAAGTCAGCTCTTCGCGCCAGCTCCATCTGTTGCCCGCGAAGCACCGTGATGCTCCATCCAATGCTGCCAAGTGGGATGTGGTTTGCCGCAGCCGCGGACCTGACAGCAATGTACCATGCCACAGCTCCCGTCGCAGCCGGCCCCACTATAAGCAAAACAGATGAGCCGATTGTCGGGCGTGCGAGTCACAAGATCACCACCCTTGCGGTCCTTGCCCTTCTTGCCCGACTTTGCCTCCTTGCCCTTCTTGCTACCCTTGAAGTCGCCCTTGCGATTTCCTTTCTGCCACTTGTCCCAGGGTTTTCCCCAGGCTGCTTCAGATTCGCCACCGGGTTGCCAAGGACGTTTCCAGGCGGGCTCACTGCGACCTTGTAGCGCAATGGGGGACACAAAGAATTGCTCCTTCAACTGAGCATTCCCTTGAACCTCTGCTAATGTATCCACCAGTGCTCGCGACTCACGGAAGGCCTTCTTGACAGCTTCGCGACGCATCTCATACTCGTATGTGAGCAGCACCTGCCACGGAGGACGAAGTGGTTGTTGATCACCTTTGCCCTTTCCCCCGGGAGTCGGGACTTGCATCAAGTAGACTTTGTCCCCCAACAAGTAATTGACATAGTCGAGCCACACTGCTGGAGTCATGCCACGAAACATGGCCTGGTTCCGATACTTGCTAGCCAGGAAAGTCCACATGTTCGCCTCAACGCGCAGGACAGTACGGAGCTCCTCCGTATGAGCAGGCAGACTTCCTTTGGCTTTCTGACGAACGATGCGAACATGTCCAGTCGTGTCCACACTGGTTTGAATGCCTTGAGTTTTGGCCCGCTTCTTTGAGATCACCTCCGAAAGCGGTGAAGCCGCCACTTCACCAGATTCGACCTCCTCTATCTTGGCTGACAAGTACTCCTCCGAAGGCTCGTAGGTCTCTTCAATGGATCCATGAACGCCCGCATAGCCTGCTTCTCTGTCTGGGTCACTGGCCGCACCACACCTAAGACCCGCGCTTCTGCCTTGAGAGATGCCTCCTTGCCAGCATACTCCTTGGAAGCTTCCCAAGCAGCTACCACAGAGGCCACCACGGCCCGGGAAGCTTGATCCGTAGCATCCAGAGTGTGATCAGTCCGAAGAGCAGCCCGAACTTCCGCCCTTGTATCAGCATAACTCGCAAAGCGTCTCACAGTACGAAAGTTGATGCTCAAGCGGTATTGCAAAGGCAGAGGCACCCCGCACTCCTGGAAGATATGCCGCAGATCCGATGCCACCTCCACATCCAGATGCCGCAAAGCCGCTGCCTCATCGATGCCATTGGGGTAATCGAGCGGACCGGGCGCGCCCCCCGCCATGCCTGTGGTATCACTAACTGCAGTAAAACGGACAAACTCAAAAGAAACCTTCAACTACACCACCAAAGCTAGCGAAGGGCCCTGATTTACAACACATTCCAGCCATCCTGTGACTGCACTGAGCTACATCTCAGTCCCTTGCTCTTGATCACATCGGCACATCTTTCATTCGTGCTCGCAACGAGCAACGTGCCTCCACCATTCAACTCAATCATTCCGCCCTTACGAATGCAAGCAAGTGCAACAGCCAACAACACTTTACGACTCAGCGCGCAAATCACTTTCCGAAGCACTACACTAGCTCGAATCATCCAAGTCCGGAACTTCCGCCGGTCCCGGAGGCTCCCCCTGTCCATCATTCCCCGGAGCCAGCGAATCTTCCGATCCACTGCTGGAAGACTCCTGCGCCGCAGATATCTTAGGCTGGCAGAGTTTGCAGATCGCATCAGCAATGCCCTCCGAGATCTTTGACACTCCCACAGTCTCCATACAGCGCTCTTGTCGAACTGCACAGGCCTTGGAGAGATGCAAACGGCGGAACCCAGAGCGAGAAATTGTCACGAAGAACGGCATGTCCGGAAGCGAAGATTCTTCTTCCCCAGCATCCTTATCTTCAGCAGGCAACTCAGCTTCCAGGCGTCCCCGCGAAATCTCGTAGCGCTCGGGACCCACCGCCAGCAAGGGGTGAACACCTCCGAGCTTCCACGTGTCATCGGTCCACTCGAGGACCTGATGCCACATAACCACTTGAGTGCCATCCTGCCCGGCTGCATCGGCAAAAGACTGGATAGACTGAAAGAGCTCCTCCTCAATCAAACCACCCTCTGCAGTCCCTTCTACCAAAGATTTGCAAACGAAGTTCTGTAGTCCCTGCACGATCTGCCGAGCAGTTGTAAGATAATCCAAAGAGCCGCCTTGCGAGCATCTCCAACGTCCAAGGAAATCGCACTTTGATTTGTCCGCACCCAGCGAGAGTGCCCATGTTGGCAGAGTATGCCGCGCAGAATGACCTGTCCAATACGCGGCCACCGACCCAGGCAACAGCTTCGTGGCACTTGTTCCCCGAGTGCCCTCGCGGCACAGGGGCACCCGAAGCTCCTTATGCAATCGACGCAGAAGTACAGCCAGATCCTGAGCCTCCACATACGAAAATCCAACATTCCAGGATTCATCCATCGCTGGACATAAATAATCCCGCGACCAGTGCAGCTCAGCCGTCTGAAGCAAGCGGTACCCCTCCAAGAGCCAATCGAAACCACTCAAAGAAATCACTCTTGACACATATCCTTGCAGTTCGCCAGTACGCCGGCCCGGTCCACTGGTCTTTGTCCGGCGCAGAATGAACTTCAAGCCGATCTGCGACAGAGTGACTGAAAATGGATCAATGTGTTGCACATCATCGCACCTCATAGTCGACCAAAGCATGAGCAGCTGCACAAACGCAAGAAAACGTAGCCCCGCAGGAAGAGTAGCCCTGCAGACCGTCAGCTCACATGACAACACCATAGCCACTGTAAGCACAGGCGCCTTCCTGACCGGCAAAGCCACTGTTTCGAGCTCTTCAGTCCAGGACTGGATCGTGCTCAAAAGCAGTTGATCCATCGAAAACCTGCTGCTTGCTGGCACCTGCCCAACACTCTCAAGCACTGATAAAGCTGCCATAAGCGAAGATGGTACAGTCTTTCCCATTGGCTGAATATCATGTCGCTCAGTGAGATACTTTACAAAGCGATCAACTCCTCCCGGCCAGCTTTCGCCGAAGGTAATCTCAAGCCACGAATGAAACTTGCGCCATGCCAGAGCACGATTGCGGAGCGTCTTCCCACGCCGAGTGCCGAATAGCCGACACCATGCTGCCCGAGGATTGGGCAAAGCAGCCACCCTAGCAGCGCAAGGCAGTCCAGCTTCCTCAATATACTGCGCAAGCACAAGAGCCCATTTCTCGCGCAGCAGAGCCTCACGGTTCTCGCCCTGCGCGCCATGAATCAGCTTCCGTTGTCGGATCGACTTCTGCAGTACCTCCAAAGCTAGCGCCGGACTACCAAGCACCAGGCCACTGAAAATCTCCTCTTTGCTTTGCTCCCGACGTGGGAACTTGACTGGCCTACGTGGGACCACCTCTGCTACTTGCCTGGGAAGCGATACACGTCGTTCCACCGATGCACGCCAATCCAGCGCCGCCGAACCAGCCGATTTAGCTCGTCAGCAGGACGAGTGCCACCGAAGAACTCCAGCAGCATCTGGCTGCATTCTTCCTCATCATCCCAGGCAGCCACAAACTGAAATGGCCCAGAATAAAACTTGCATACCTCACGAAAGAGATCGCCATCTAACGTGTCAAGCCCATACCAGTGCACGTCAGACATTCACCCAGTGAAGCATCAACCAGACAGAACTAGCAGTCTCAGCGCCATGACTAGCGCCGAAGGTCTATGCTCCCTCTCACATCAAAAATTTCACGATCCGGTCTCGAGCAACGCAGAGCAAACAATGCCCAATCAATTGGAAAGATGTCAAATCTGCAAGGGCTTCACCACACTCAAATTTGCCAAATACCGCATGCCAAATCAAATCACTTTCAAGCAGAGTTTTTTTTCGAAAACACCCACAAAGCTTTTCCACAAGTTGCCAAAGGCCAGCATCCAACGTTCCAAGGAGCGCCCACCCACCCCCCCCGACTCAAGTAACGGAACAATCCCCCCGGGAGGACCCGGGTAGTTTGTTGAGCCACAGGTTAGGACTGACCACGGGCCTGAGCTGTAGACCTGGTCCTGCTGCCAATGCGATTCCTGCAGGAAAACGATTTTGAAGTTCTTGTACTCTGTTGTTGCCAAAAGGGCCAGAATCTCGTTCCAAACTCGACTTGTAATTGAGCCTGCGTTCCAAGTAAGGACTTCCATGTCAAATTTGTGATGGATCTGTCTGTTCGGTTGAAAAGAACGCCTCTCCGCTTTCGCAGGAGACGCGAATTGTCCTTCATGAGCTCCTAGAGCCTGAGCTGTCAGAAGACGGCCTTTGTAAAGTGCTGCTCCCTTCGCCAGGGCAACTTTACAAGCTCTTTGGTAGCTTCGCTTGCCGGTTTTGTTCATGGTTAGCTGACTTCGCTGCGCATGCTGCTCAGCTTCATCGGGGGGCGCTACTTCCCGAAACCCTCGATTCTGATCCATGGCTGGACCCTGGGACTTGGGACCCAGGCACCCAAGAAAGCTCGCTACGGCTACGAGAAATAAAATCCTCATCTTGGGCCAGAATCTTACAACAACAACAACAACAACCAACAACCAACAAACACCAACACCAACACCAACACCAACACCACAACCAACAACAACAACAACAACAACAACAACAACAACAACAACAACAACAACAACAACAACAACAACAACAACAACAACAACAACAACAACAACAACAACAACAACAACAACAAACAACAACAACACAACAACAACAACACACAACAACAAACACCACAACAACAACAACAACAACAAACAACAACAACAACAACAACAACAACAACAACAACAACAACAACAACAACAACAACAACAACAACAACAACAACAACAACAACAACAACAACAACAACAACAACAACAAACAAACAACAGCAACAAACAACAACAACAAAAACAACAACAACAACAAACAACAACAACAACAACAACAACAACAACAACAACAAACAACAACAACAACAACCCAACAACAACAACAACAACAACAACAACAACAACAACAACAACAACAACAACAACAACAACAACAACAACAACAACAACAACAACAACAACAACAACAACAACAACAACAACAACAACAACAACAACAACAACAACAACAACAACAACAACAACAACAACAACATTTTTGCATTGCACTCACTGCCAGAATCAGCATGTGGACCTCTGATCACTTTGGATCCTCGGCACGTCGGCTACTCTGTATCCGCCTTGGGAGCTCCAGCAGTCTTTGCTAGTTCGTACTTCACGCCCCTCAGGGCTGCTGAAGATTGTTGTGCACAGCTATGTTCGAGTATGTGGAATGCATCCGCCCCTCGGGGCTGCGATAGCGCTGTGCTGGCTGGGCACCCTACGACCGCTTCCTACTGGCTCACCTGCACCCGCGACTGCTGCAGTGCCGGCTGGCCCCGATGTTGTGTTGCAGGCTATAGCTGTGCGCTAGCTGAGTTTGGTGTGATTAAGGCGGGCAAGGGTGATATAGAAGGTCTCACCCGCCTTTGTTATTTCACAGTCCGGCCTTTTGGACTTCGGGAGGATCGCTTCCTCCAGATTGCCAGGTCTCACTACCTGCTATACTGAATCTGCTTTGGCAGAGTACTTAAGGATATTCAGGAGGAAACCTCCTGACCTGATGCAATGAATCAATGAAGAAATTGAAGTTGGCACGGAGGCAGCCACCGATATCAAGTACTCAGCACTGCAAAAGAGTGAAAAGTAAGCGCGGCTACCCCGACACCCTACTGTGAGTCACTGCGTCCAGCACCCACGCACCAGCTGTTTAGCGAGCCGTACCTCTGGTGAGGCCGACACTCAGCGTTCCCGTCTAGTGACGTCTCACACAGGTAACGCTAAACAACTGGCAGAGGGCCGTAGGCAGAGCGCACCAAGGCGGCCTTGCACGTTCCAAGTAGGATGCCCAAATTGGATGCAGGGAAGCTGAGTTTGCGAAGCCTTACCTGGGACGCCTTGCGCGGCTCCTGGGGCCAGCGCTGCGACAGGGCAAAATTTCACACCTGGTCGAGAAAATGTGGAGTTAAGGATATTCAGGAGGAAACCTCCTAATCTGATGCAATGAATCAATAGGTTCAAGAAAACGGAAAGATTAAATTAAGATAGAAACAAAAGTGCATGGCAAACTAGAGTAGATCAAGATTGCCAGCTTGCTGACTGAAAAAGAGAATTAATGATTGTAGTTTGCCTGAAGCGCAAGCTGCTCACAACTGAAAGTTCCATCAAGTGTGAGCATGCATGCTGGTGCTAACGAGATGATTAGCTGCAAGCAATGCTATCTGGAGATCACTCCCTGCCTGATTGTTCAGAGCATCGGTTGACGTCAGCCAAATGCAGCCTGCATCACGAGCGGTGTGCTCTGCATGGGGTAGGTGGGTGGGATCCCCATTGTGCAACACAGACTCAGGCAAGATTTCTTCCTCATAGCCGCTGATGGTCACAAAAAGCCATCTGCTTTTGTTGCAAGGCTAGACAAGTGATATTGCAATCCCTTGCTGGAGAAGCTCCATTGCACTTTAATGTATGAAGAAGGTCTCAAGAAGATGAAAGATGCGAACAACATGGGAGGAAGCCTCCTAATGAAAGAAAGAAAGAGACACTATTATCAACCTCTGTGCTAAATGGAGTTCTGCCATACTAATGCATGGCTTAGTCGAGCTGAGAGTTGCACCTTCAAAAGTGCCGATTTAGGTGTTGAAAAGTGTACAGGGAATCGGCGAGGTGCAGGAAGGGGAGGAAGCCTCCGGAGGTAGCCTCCACTCATTCTGTGAGTCCTGCCGAAATTGTGGTCCACTGTGCGATCGCTATGTTCATTTCCGCATCCTCTGCAAAGAACTCATCACGCACCTGCCCAACCTCTTGTTGATACTGAGCGTCAAGATGCGGCGGAAGCATGCTTGAGGTATACCGGATAATGTGCGTCTCACGATAGAAGCTCTCTAGTTCGGTGAGGATCACGCTGTAGTACCACGTTCCTTGGGTGGTGGGAAGCTCGGTGAACCTCATCAGGCTTAAGTATCGTAGGCTGATGCTCCGCAACTTTTGGCGCCGGGCCGCCTTGATTTCACGCCATTCATCATATCCGGTCAATGACTGTACTGCCCAAAGCAGTGTCTTCAACCTCTCTGCTTGGAGCACCTCATGTGCGTAGTTCATGAACTGAGCGAGGATTTTCACCTTGTGAGTGTAGAGATACTCCGCAACCCTTGTGCTGGTAGTCTCGGAGGAGATGTTCTGGTCCTCTGCAACTACCTGCTGGTGCACGAGAGCAACCAGGAGCGGAGTGAGCGCTTGCACCAAGCTAGTGCTCTCCATTGGAAACACAGGTGTTGATGGCTGGATTCGAGGTTAGAATGGCTACTGCCAACGGAAGTGTGAAGCGGTTTCTTATGTCAGGCAGGCATTGACCATTGCTAACAAGCATGCAAGGGCTCTAGCTGAAAGCTGCACAGCTCCAGAACAAGGAACTGCAGAAGGAAGTGCCTGCCACTGCTTGTGGACTTCGCGACGCTAAGCTCACCTGGGCAATGTGCAGGTGGAGGGTGGGGAAACTCCTCTTAGAGCATGCAAAGAGAGACAACTCGTTCAGGCTGTATCAAAGTCTTTGTTGCCTTAAGCAGAGGGCGTACATGCTGTCTACTTTAAAATGAAGTGGAGGAATCCTCCGGAGGAAGCCTCCCACTGCGAAAGTAGACCACGGCAGAACGAATTCGGTACAGGTGAAACTGCTGAGGACGCTGTAGAAGGGCAGAGACTTGCCTGTGTGCCGATCTATGACAGTGCTGATGTGGGACAGGTCAATGGGTCCACGCGTCAGCAGTACTCCATTCTTCGCCCGACGCACTTTGTGTCCACTGTCGATCAAAGACGGCAGGTGGATCCAGATCTCCACTGAGGAGTCCTCCCTGACTCCTGCAGTTTTGGTTGGTGACAAAGACATATGTATGTCACGTCTTTGCATTCTGCGCAGCTGAGAGGAGCGAATCTGCTGCCAGGCCCGCCAGCTCGTCCCGTGGACACCCCACTCCGGTGTTGTTGAGGAGGTCAGAACCTCATGCAGTTGATCGTCGTCCAGTGGGATGTCACGACCATGACCCTGTAAGGCTCTGATGTAGATTTCACCGTCTTCCTCTGAGATCATCTGCTCCATGCGGACCTTCTGTGAGGTTTCCAGTACTCGCTGTACTTCATGAACTGTCACTTCAGCCCGCCAGAATTGCCTGGAATTAAGAAGGCTTTTCAGATTGGCATAGCCAGCAGTGTCTAGCGAAATGCCATACTTCACTGGGTCATGTCTGAGAGCCTGTGTGAGGAGCTTGCCTATCATCTCTCGTCTGGTTTCGTGAGCGCCCCGTCCAGAGAGCCGATCAAGATTACCATCCAGATCTGCTAAACTTGGTGATTGCTGAGTTGCTGGCTGCCAGGCATGCTCTCTTCTGCCTCCCTCTTGATGCTGTGGGACTTCTTGATGAAATGGATCCTGTAGATCTGTGCCTGCGGAATCAGCAGCTGGTGACCAAATCCCCCAGGATTCATCACTATCATCTTCGGGCTGATGCAAGGAGGTCGGCAGAGCGCTTTGGTCAGAGGCCATTGCCTTGTTTCCT